TATGGCCTAATCCTAACCTGGTACACATACTACGTTTTGGTGTCCCCCATCTTGGTCCACATACTACAGGAGTACCTGCAATTTATTTCATTCAGAATGAAGAAACTCTCGATTTGATCAAGGTTTTTTTTCTGATCTCTAAGCAAGACAGTAGACAGGCACCCGTGAAACATTCCCTTGATACTAGGCTGATCTAGAAGTTCAAACCAGTCCATTATCGCAGTGTGTAATGTCTTGCTATTGCCTCATCTAACTGATCCTTACTTAGGATTAGCTCACTGGTGGGCCAATAATATGATAGCACCCCAAAAAAAGTATATGAATGCAAGGTTTTCATATTCAAAATTTCAATATCCTGAATCAGACCCAACTATGATAGATTAGAATAGGAAAAGAAAGGTTGGACAATAACAGGACAGAACCTAAAACAGGAGAAGGGAAAGAAATTCACATTAATTGCAAGGTTATTGATCCGATTGATTCAGTCGTTTCAGCCAAAACATTTTGAACAAATTTACTTCGAACCATTTAAATTTTATTTTGTTTTCATTGCATTAATTATTTAGTTTCAAGTGTTTGTCTTGGAATGTCACAAATACAAAGAGTGAAAACATGAGTTAGAAAATCTTGATATAAAACATCTTTCATACCCAAGACTAGAGTGGAGTCCGTGTCCAGCAGCTTTATTCATTTCAATCAAATTTTTTGAGTTGAAAGCAGTTTGGGAAACCTCCATAGTCCTGAAATAGAGAGAATAATGATAAGAAATATATCTTGAACTTCTTGTTTTCAAACTCCCGACGCAATCACTTTAATTGATACAAATCCTGGCGCTTTGAAATAAAATATTGATTTTATTACAGTATCAACATTAAATTGCGACAAGTCTTCAAGTACCGTACAAGTTTTACATTTCATGCACATTTGATCCATACTACCCAAAAACCAGGCTTGTCCATCGACCATCGGACATATTTTTTTGTCTCATCCCACCCCTTGTTATTTAGGTTTGGCGTAAAACAAACTGTATTTAGATAGATAGATAGTTTATTTCGAAAACTTCATAACAAACATAAATTAAAAATGGAGAGTTCTGGAGGGCAAGCAAAACCTATAAAAAAGTTTAAAACATGACAAGTATTTCATGTGCCTGCCCACCAGCACGCACACAAAAACACAAGCCCATTTAAATGGGGCTTGGGCCAAACTTAACAAACAAAATACACGATAGTGTTTTAAACTTTCGGGCTGTTGTACTCTCAACAATTACGTTGATAATGACCCATACCTACAACCTCATGCAAAGATAATGTGGGGAGTGGAATGTAATAAATTTGCGACGATAGTCATCATACTCATGAAGCTATGAAAGCTTTAAGAAAAACCAAGCCATGAAAAACTACACTGATTGCTAGATTGGGCATTGCGGAAAAGGTGATAAGTGGTTTAATATACAAACAAACGCAAAACCATGGCGGCAAATTTGGTGTGCGGACACTCATAAAAGCAATTATCAGGGAAAACACTAATCACACGTGAGCAGGTCTGTAGCCTAATTGATACATTGACAAGGCCAACATTGTTAAAACAGTACCGGTATACACACAGAGAACAAATCGAAAATATGCTATTAAATGAATGTTTAAAAATGTTGCGCATTGATATGATCATAAGTTACACTACAAACTATTTACACATGTATAGTTGAATACCCAGTTCTGCAGTTAGTATTCAAGCAGAATTTCTAGAAATAGCAGTATTTGCTGACAGTCCGAATTCAATATCATCCCCCTTGTCACAAAATAAAATATCTCAATCAATCCCTGATGTATTCATCTTTCGATTCTGTTATGATGTCCGTATTTCCATAATACTCTGTACCACAACCTGACAACCTACGTCTGCAAGTTGTAAACCTTCTTGCAGTAACAAATATTTTATATATTTTAACCAGCCTAGAACTATTAAAATATTATACCTTCAATCTTGTGACCAAATATCAAGCGTCAGCATGGATCTCAGGGTCTTACTACTTACTGAATACGGCGCGAAACACCGCAAAGAGCACAAAACAGCGCAAAAGAGCGCGAAACAGCGCAAAATAGCGCGAAACAGCGCAAAACAGCGCGAAACAAAAGGAAACCAGCGCAAAACAGAGGGAAACAGCGGAAAACAGGAGACGCAGTCATTACCACCTCCTGCCACGAAAGAACCACGGCGCCTCTCGCCATGGTTTTATGGCGCTATTTCCGGTATATTTACAAGGTTATGTACCGGATTATAGGTCATCATGCGAAATTTTATCTACCTTTTTGGTGCTCCAGAAGTATGTGCAGCAATATGTCGCACAACCTGAATCCGCCACACACACACATACATACTATTTTCAGGTTGTGCGCCATCTTGGTGCACATACTTCTGGAGGTCCCTTTTGATCTAACCCTCTATTTCCCTCTGTTTTGCGCTCTTTCGCGCTGTTTCCCCACTGTTTTGCGCTGTTTCCCTCTGTTTCGCGCTGTTTTGCGCTCTTTGTGGTGTTTCGCGCTGTATTCAGTAAGTAGTAAGACCGTGGATCTCATTACTTGATAACTTTTCTTCTGTTGGTACAGGTAGCCATACTAACAAGGAAGATGACAGCCTTTTGTATGTGTGTTATTTTCGTATTTCTCTGCCTTGTCAGATATAAAATATTTTTCTAACAAATTCGCTTGCCAAGTTGATAATTTGGACAGTACCGTACCTACCGGTATTCTAAGAGATAGACTATCGGAAATATTTCACTGAAGCTAAATCGGCGAACTCGTTCAAAAACATCTCTGGGTATCTCTATCGCCCCTGATGGTAATACCGTCGCTAAAAGGATCGTCAGTGATCACCAGTCGTTGGTGATCACCTGAGTTCTGAATACAGTTAATGGTTTGTAGTGGATTTTATTTTCTACATTTATTCCTTTTCAGCTTAAAAGGCAATCAAACTATTTAAAACTGTGCCCAAACACACAGGGTTATCAAGTCGTGGGGTAGTAGTCCGGTGGTTTTCTACTCCTATACCTTACGTCAGGTGTCTCCAACTCAAAACATGTCGCGGGCCACTTTTTGAAAATTATTGACCACGCGGGCCGCAAACCAAGAAATTAGGTACAGGAATGGGTATCTGAATGTATTGTGTTGAAATTACAATTGAATCTTACAGCAAACAAGACATAAAACATATATATATATTCATTCACTTGTGCTGGTTATTTGGTCTCGATGTTTGGCCTTATTTTTCGTTGGTTTGCTAGTCTCAAGAAAACATGCAAATGCTCGTCCATTGGTCGTGTGCGGAGAGCTGACTTGCTAACTTTCATAGTCTAAAAAAACTGCTCGCAAATATAAGAACTGCCAAAAATCGCAAGTATGCAAAGTGAATGTGCAATTAGCTTTGTAAACCTTTCTTTGGGCACAATGGACTGACCGAAACTCTTTTATTTCGTCACAATGAACATGCGAAATTATCGCATTTATAATTGCAATATAACAATACAAGAGAGCTACGATATCCACAGAACGTTTAATGACGTCATAGCAAACAAAAACAAATCTCACAGAGCTAACAGATATTTATTTAATATTTAAAATGAATAAAAGTGATAGCCTTCTGGGGAATAATTTTATCTTCAACCACTGAAAATTTCAAAGCAATTGGTCCAGTATTCGAAGAGAAAAGCGATTTCTCCAAAACGTGTCAAAGAACAAGGACACTAAGAACAACAATAAGAACAACAACAACATAATATTGAAACGATCGCTATGTCCACTACGTGTCCAATAATAAAACATGAACGTGGACAACAGGGGGAATTTTGCTCCACTTTTTATAGTTTGTCGGACCGGACTCTTGATGATAAATGACACGATAAAACCTAGTAAAAGTTGACATCGTACTAATTTAGTTTTTTGTGGAAAAATCCCAACCATGACGCGGGCCGCAAAACATTGGCTGGCGGGCCGCATGCGCCCGCGGGCCGCGTGTTGGAGACCCCTGCCTTACGTGGATTACTATCCGGGAGACGTTGTTCGGCTCATGATTATTGGCTTATTTGTCGTCCTTTCGGATTTTTTAACTTGGGATAATTATGGAAATCCCCTTTTATAGTGAATTTCTTTCAGCGGAGACACGAGTCAGGTATAACTTTCCATGGTCGTCGGTGTTGACCGCCACCTTGCGACCATAGTGTATCATAAATTTTCTTGCACGTGAATGGTTGAAAGTACGTCATTTTTTATAATTTGATATTGACATTGAAATACGATATGTGTTGAGATTTGTTAAGACGGGTCAAAGCCTTTTTATACGATCCATATTTTGAAAACTACAGATAAATAATCTTAAGTTTTGAGCTGTAATGACGCAATAATATGCATGAATAAATTTCAAATGCGCAAGACTTCTGCGCAAAAAATGTCCTTGGTCGTTAGCAACAGGTTTGAAAAAAATGAAATTGCGCGTTTGTACTCAGTATATCTTTATAGAAAGTACAATTTTAATATTATTAAAGTGGGTATGAATGTCGGTAAGACGTTTTAGTCATTCGGCAAACCACTGCGTTTTGTTAGGATAAGTATCGTGCTACAACGAACTTCTGCATTGTAGTTTATGGTACGACAACAAAAGTCTGTTCCCTAACTTCTGAACTTAAAACCAAGCTACGATTTCTGAATGTTACGAATTATTGGAAGCAAAAGACAATTACTTGTTAAATTAGATTCGATGACTTGAAGTGGTTGTTTCTAAATTTGCATATGCACATTTGTATTTAAATTTTTGTAATTATGCAATACAGAAATTGTTTTGACTGCAGCATCAAAGGTTTTGCTTCCAATATTTGTCTAGTTTATATTTGCGTGTTTTATGTATGAAAAAGTTAAAAAGGATCTAGGCTATTTATGTTCATATTGCTTTTTCTGATATATGTAGCCTACATTTTTTAGAAATATGTTGGTGTAGTTTACCCTAATTGCAAACAAAATGTCTGAATCTAAAAGAATCCGCGAAATTGATGATGCTGATTTGGATTGTGAGCCGTCGACCTCTTCTAGTGGTGAAGGTCAATCAACATCTCAGATTGCATTACGAGCAGAAGAAGACAGAAATCTAGACTTTGCTCATAATGTTCGAAGTATAGTGAGACAATTAGAAAAACGAGGACTTATGGTCGCCCCAACACTCGTTTTCAAACAAGGTGTGAAAATATGCTAATATTTATTTTCAGTACATTTACTAAAGCTATACAATTTCTTTATTTACCGTATTTACTCAAAATTACGCCTATATCGAGAATAGGCAGACTCCCTTAAAACGGCGATTTTATGAAAAATCGCACATAAGCCGGTTCTACGAATCGTGACACGCCGGACGCCTCAAGGAAAACGTAAAAAGAGAACAAAATTATTGTAACGCAAACATTTCTCACGTTTATCGTTTCTGCATGTTAGCGAGGGCCGTAGGTGGATTATTACCCGTAACTCTTACTTGTTAATTTATGTTAATGAAGTCTATATTGCTTTTCAATGCGTCGTGATTGTGTCGGGAGATTAAAATAGAGTTCCTGAATCAGCATAAAACAATTTCCTTTGATCGCCACAACGACGATTAATTTAGTTCCTTGTCCGTTTCAAGGAAAGAAATAACGCTGTATTAACACATTCTTATAAATCGCTACGAATCTTAACACGCCAGAGGCCTTAAGAAAGGCGCAGAACGAAAATAAAATTGCTGTAACACTTTTCAACATTTATCCTTTCTGTTTGTTAGCGACGGCCGTAGATTTTTACTCGTAACTCTTACTTGTAAATTCATGTTAATAAAGTCTATATTGCTTTTCATGTGTCGTGATTTGTATTAATGGAAGGGATTGTTGTCGGGAGTTTAAGAGAGTCTCTGAGTCAGTATAAAACAATTTCCATTGATCGTCCACAACGCGGTTATTTTCGATAAGAGTCCTTATCACCGCCCCTTAACGGATAACATATCGTAAAGGTGATTATAGGTCGCGCACCTTTAATTGCCACGAAAGTTTTCACCAAGAAACAACTGGCCGTAAATCGACACTGTTGCTGTTATGTAAAAGAAGCGCAAGCGAAAACAAACAATCACAGCCTGTACAAGCGTCACGTGTTAAACAACCAATCACAGACTGTACAAGCCATCAGCTGTATGATAAGACAATGCACTTTCACAAGCGAGTGTGTGTGTGCGTGCACGCTTCTTATCGTGAGAACTTGGTATGGTTTGAAGCTTTTGGAATTACCGGCAAGTCAGCATAATATCATCTCGTTGCGTGATCAAATTCTGTACGCGAATGAGCCGATTTTTTGGTGCAATCTGAGTTATGCGAGAATGAGACGGTCCCTTAGTTTGGCAACTTTTTTTTGGGGGTTTTAAACTCGGCCTATTCGCGAGCATATACGGTAAATATAATTCATTTATAGAAAATAATTAGAATTCTACGTTTTTGGGCCTAATAGTGGTGTCATATTCGTTTTCAAGCATTTAAAAAATGGATAAAATATTCTGCCAAATATTCAGAACTGGTCAACTTTAGTAACCTTGTAATTCATCCACTAGTAGGATCTATATGGCATAACTGGTAGAAATAAGTTATTCTCAAATTCCAGTGTCACTGCTGCTAATTTCGTTTCGAGGCTGAGTTCAAATTTAGGGTTTTCATATTTTACTTTCACATAAGCATGGCTCAACATCAGTATAATAATAATTGCATTTTTTTTTCAATAAATAAGAAATGCCCATGCCAGTATTATTAAATCACAGGTGACACTATAGGAACCAATATTTCTGGATGTTCTGGTTTTAAGCTTCAACAAAGCAGCAACATATTAGGCAGCACTTCACCAACAAATGAACAGACAGCCAGGCCTACTGATGCAGAAGAACATGGCACAGCAGGAGAAACACCCTTCCATTTTAAAGGTAGGTTGACTGTTATAATTGTTATCACAAGGTGGTTTTCCTAACTTATGGATAGTCGTGATTTCTTAAGGCCGTTCAAAAAGGATTGACTTTTCAAAGTTGTTGTATCTTCAGTAAATTATGAATATTAACAGGAAAATAAGATAATGCAGGAATAGATATGTGCGAGAGGACTGCTGGACTCCTCGCCGTCGTATGGTGGTTCACACGACATGCTTCAGATCCATGCTTCTCAAAACCAATAACCAACTAATTCAATACCCGACCTGGACTGGTAACCGGATGAGACGCTGTGGTTCGGCATATGATTAAGTTGTCTTTCGGTTTCCTCTCCCCCGGAATAATTATGTTAATTCTATACTAAATCCCATTCTATTTTTTATAGATTCAATTCGCCTCGGTCATAACCTGTACCTGCTTTATAATGAAAGACTGGCAAGTATGGTGAAGTTTACAGAGGCTTGCAGACTCATGAAGGTTCTCGAGGATTCGATCCAATCGCCATAAAATCTATCAAACTCAGCGATGATGAAAATAGGAAGAAGTGGAAATCATCCGAAAGCTTCGTTCCCACCCAAATGTGATAACTGTCCTCCAATCTGGGACTTATTTCTTTGGTCCATTAGAACATTTTATCGCAATGGAATACTTTAAATCTAACATTGACAGACTTTGTCAAAGACGATCCAAAGCCTAAGACTGACGAAGTCAAACATAAACAAATAGAACAATTTGTTGAAGCTGTCGATCATATCCACATTAACGAAGTTCTACATCGCGATCTTAAACCAGATAATATCTTGGTATCGGACAATGGTAGAATTCTCAAAATAATTGACTTTGGTTTGGGAAAACAGTTAAGAAAAGGACATTTTGTAACCAAAATGAGCACTTTACGTGTCGGCACTGATGGTTGGAGGGCCCCGGAAATATACTTTCTGACCTTTGTTCTTAAACAATCGGACATATTTTCTTCCGCACTCGTAATCCATTTCATTTCGACCGATGGTTCCCACCCATTCGGTAATGACCCTGATAGTTGGAATCTCAATATCAAACGATATCAAGGATGTGACCTGAGCAAACTAGAAGGGTATCTGGAGGATTTGGTTGGTTGGATGCTCAGATTCCGACCACAGGATCGTCCAAATACCGAACAAATTCGAAAACATAAATACTTCAATGGTCAACTTGTTTGCCCTCATCCCAAACTGAGTAAGTAGAAAGGTTCTATAGTTTTTAATGAAATATTTCTTTAATCAAAAATCTGGATAATTGGTTGAACACAGTATATCCCACCTTAGTATATAATTTTGAACTCAGTCAGAAACAAAGTTTATTGCAAGACTTTTATATGAAATTATTATTTAATAAAGTCTAGGTTTTATATTTTCCCCAAAGCCTAGCTTAAATCATACCTGACATATTGTGATAATACCTAAGATGTTTGCTTTATATGAATGACATTCGGGAACATTTTGGTTTGTTTAATCAATTAATTTTGCTCTGTGGTTTTTATTATTTTGTCTAAATGAAACCAATACTTTTAGGTTCTGTAGTACGAAGCGCTCAAGAGAAGGAAGTTGTAAAAGTCAAAGAAGAGTTTGAAGAAAGAATGAAGCAAATGGAATTAAAAAATGAACAAGAAAAGAGGGAAATGATGAAAGAGATGGAAAAGCTTAGAAAGAAAATGAACGGTAAATTTTAGCAGCTTTCTTGATTGTTTTGGGGTTCTTTCTGTCGGAGAGAATGCGGAGAGAGCACGAAAAGGAAATGAAGCGGATGCAAGAAGAAAAGAGGAAAATGCAAATTGAGATTGAAAAGCTCAAAACTGAAAAGAAAGGTTTTCTAGATTTCTAAATTGTTATTGGTAATTGCGGGCTTATTCAGAAGAGACTGCTAATATTGGCTTGGTGGTGTGGCTAAGCATTAGGAATACGCTCACCTTCACATCTCTGATTACCATGCATGGGTTCGCAGGATTGTATTTCTTGCGAGTTAATTATGTGCAATAAGATTGCTGGACTCCTTGTAGGGTGGTTCACGTTACCGCTGTTTGGGTACACCATCAAGTCCATGCATCTGAAAATAAATAGCTCGCTGAAAACTAATCCCATACATAACATGGACTGTTAACCGGACGAGCGGTCATGGTTTGTCATATGATTAGGCCGTCTCATTCACTTTCCTCATCCGCATGTTGGATATATAAATCTTATTCTACCATACCATACTAGCCATATAACTCTTGTTACTGATTTTCCATCAAAACAATGAAACTGTGGTTTATCTAGTATCCCAATTCGGGACTTTAGGTTGAACATTTACTGTGTTTTGAAAAAGTTAGTCAATATCAATAATTTTCACTCTTTTTTTAGATTTTGCTCAGCCTTCCAATATCTCTGCAACAAACCAGCTTGCTGTTTCCACTAGTGCAAACAAGTCCATTTCTCAAAAGACTGCTAAAGTCAAGTGTCAAGGTAAATTTTGTTGAGACATTTCTCCTGTTAATAATTATTTTCAAATCGGTCAGATATAAATCCATTTATTTTATTACAGCATACCTTTGAGGATCATATCTAAAAAACAAAAGAGTGAAAATACAACTAGACACAGTAAATGTAAATCTGAATATGAATTTGTGTATTATCATACCTTGGCTATTAAACTTCTATATCACAGGCATTTCCTGTGACTTTATAAATACCAAACAGTATTTCTGCTATACGTTTTGATTTTATCAATCCAAGTGCAGAATCTCAGTCTTCAAGTTAAAAATCAAAGCTCCAAATCGGGGTAGGCAATTACTTTCCTGGGCCGGGGTCAGCCAGTTCTAGATAATAGACTTGCTTACTGGGCCGGAGGCTCAATATAAAACTATAAATAAAAACAGTTTATTGCATTTCGATAATAAAAAAGTGAATCCGCAACCACAATTTTTGGATTGAAAAGTGACAATGTAAAATATTAAAAAATAAAACAGAGGGAAACATCATAGGTTTTGTTTTAGGAGGCACGCAACAGAATAAAAATGCTGTTAAGACTGTGTAAATCGCAAAATTGACGGCACACATTATGTTGGGTTGCCTTTGAAAATTTAATCGTTTATCAGGAAATATGAATTTCCCAGAAACATGAAGACCCTGGAATTTTCCCAACGATGATATTTTAAAAATAATCATAAGTGAAAAATTCCAAGGTCGCAAAAATCTGAATCCAATTTATTTATAATCCGGTCAATAGTGTATCGCGTATTCCATGTCCGTAGATTACCGTAGTATTTTAGAGTAGTAGTGCTTTTATTTTACCTTAGTCGACACAATGAACATAATCAAAATAATATGGCAAGACATTTTAAATGCCCGTATCAGCCACAGATTGAATATTTTGCGCAACAGAAAAATCATAATCCACTGAAAAAGTCTATTTTGAAGAGTGTCACAATCGCAGCACTTGTTTTAGAGTCGTTGCATGGGAATTTTTTATTCTGATAGTTTGGAACCCCCCTTTTTAAAAGTCCTGGATACGCCCACGTAGAAGCTGCTGTGCTGATTTGTGCCAGATGAAACACTTCTGCGGGTCAGATCTGGCCTACGGGCTGTAATTTGCCCATCATTGCTCTAAATCAATTGCAGTTGCACTGTTTTTTTAATGCACTCCACATTTAGGCTTCCAATATTATAGGTATATTAACCAGCCAAATACTCATGTTTATCGATGACAGTGAATTTTATAATATTTTGTCTGATGCATAGGCCGTCTAACCTGTAAACGGGCAGTTTCACTAGACTGCGAGATAACCGTCGCTATCATATTATAGACGCAAAACCCATTTGTAAATTCCCAATGCCCAAAATACGATAATGGCACGACAGTTACGTTGGATTTGGCTTGACCAAGGTAAATCGAGATGAGAGAAAATGTGCTATGTTTATAGCATGAGCATAGAACGATGCCTATGGGCCTGTTTTACAGTAAGCCATGGTACAAACTGCTAAATTCAACATGGTTTGTCGAATCTTAGATGTTTTGTACATCCATCCTCTACCATACCTCAGCGACCCCGCGGACCCCATGACCTGTTTGCGATCCTACCTACTCATCACTCCGACCCAATTTGGGGTCGAGACCCCTGGTTTGGGAAACCCTGCACTAGACCATGGTATTGCCCAAAACTCAAATAACCACACAACGGTTTAATTATATCTAGGTACCATAATTTTCATTCTTTCAATTCATAATTCAAGTTTTTACATATCATGGTACCTTTTGAATATCATTGAACCCCTCAATCACAAGCATTATTGCTTAAATAAGAACAAACATTATTTTTATCATTTAGTTTTGGTTTTATTTATCCAGGTGCAGAATCTCAGTCTCCAAGTCAAACTACTTCTGATCTAAGAGTCATCAACCAACAACCACCTGGTGGGAAGCTGTCAGAGAATTGGTTGCTAGAATCACTGTCAGGATATGAAGGAAGGGGGACTCTTGCCATCACCTACTCATTTGCTGCTGGAAGTCTGATGGTGAGTTATGAAGCAAATTTAACTGTTGGTTGGAAAATAAATCACAGATTTACTGGAATCAAGATTCTTAATCAATAAGGTTTTTGTTTTTAATATCAATCCCTATTGCACATTAGTAAATTTGAACATCGATCAATTAAAATATATTTCCTGAATAAATACCAGTGCAATAAATGGAAAATGACAATTTGGTAAAAGTAATATTTGGGGATGCCCACTTTCTGATGGTTTGCCTAGAATTTGGTACAATTATTGTTATTGTGAATTTCTTGAATCGATTCATTGAGGGGTCACAAGCAATTGAGAAGCAAAATTATTATATATGTCAAAATTTACTAAATACAACATGATTTAAACAAAACTTTGAGGAAAAATAGGAAATTTTCTGTCATACCCTTTGATTTCATAAAAGCTCCAAATATGGTGATTTTGATATAATGGCAAAGACATCCCTTATAATAGTACTGTCATGTTACTTTTTTATGCGATGCTTATTCATGTCTTTTGCTCTGAACAAGGCCCCTATACATGCAGTCACAAATATTTAATAGGGTGGTTCACGTGACCAACTGGTCTGTTACAGCCTCCTCCACCATCAAGTCCATGCTTCAGAAAACGAATAACTGGCTAAACAATCTCTTACGTGTCATAGACTGGTAACCGGATGAGAGGCTGTGGTTCGCCACTTGATTAAGTCGTCTTATTGGCTTTTCTCTCCCCAGGATAAATATGTTAATTCTGTCATATCTTATATTTAATGAAATTTAAGCTATCAGACACTGATATCTAATGATATTTAAGGAGATATTATTATTTCGAATTTTCTTGTTCTGCATTTCCTATCCAATTTATTTCATCCTGGGTGAGGTGGTTGGTATGGATTTGAACCGAGATGTTTAATATGTGATGTCAGCTTAGTTCAGTCCAACACTTCAACCATTAGGCCAACGGTTTCAAATATTTTTGTTTGTGCAGCGCTGAATTGTTAGGGAAAAAACTGCTGACGACGCAATAAAGGAAAAAATTTGAATAAAATTTAATATTGTGATCATTAATGTGTACTTCATGTTTGTAAACATATACGCCTAATGTCAACTTTTCTCTGCCTGATTTTATTTTGGAACTCCAAACAAACTCTGTTCATCAGATAAATAAACTGCAGTTTGGGAAATTGCAGCAAGCAGTGTTCTTTATTGTTACGTAACACTAGTGCACCGCGGTACACCCTTTGGTAACCAATGCGTTAGGCCATTGCACAGTCCAGAAGTTAGAAAGAAGTATTGCTAACTGTTTGCATTCACTCACATGAGGTATTGCTTCTCATAGAAATATAACAGAATCAGGCAGTATGTTGTATAATGCTTATATGGGTTGACTCTGGTTCATGCTTTGTCCATTTATAATTAATTTAAACTGGTATGCTGATTGAATTCAGTTATAATGGAAATCAAAGCTTTAAAAGGTTTGTTATTGAGAAAAAGTTCGAATATAGAAGCCATTTGTGCAGTAAAATCATAGCATAGCCATATATAGATCATGCTTGTTGAAACTTGAGTAATAATAAACTCGTGGTTTGTTTAAATTTAAGTTGTTCATAGAATTTAGGTCTTCTATGTTTAATTCAGAATTTGATTCAATGGTGCAGTAAAATCACGACAAGCTAAATATTTAGCGGGCTTCCTTATAATTTCTGATTTTGATGTTTAATTAAATTGCTGGGTTGTCAAGTTGAATTAATTTATTAGAAAACACCAAGCATTTTGTTAGAAAATTTTTAACTTCTGCTAAACCTTCATAGATATTCTGATATTTATATCAGTTTAACAAACCCCCAGGTATGAGAGATGATTAGTTTTGTTTGTTTCTTCAGGGTGTTTCATATGAAGCTCAAGAATTCACTGAATATTTGCCGTGGGATGTTGATGGACTGATATGTTACAACTTACTCTATCAAGCATTCAGTGCAGGATTGATTTTCAAGATTCAGAAAGTTGGTGACAAAAGAGGAAAAATTGTTTGGAACGATGAGTTTCCTCATAAGACTAATAAAACTGGAGGACCAGAGAAGTAAATACTTTGTGTGTTTCATGTTTGATGGGTGTTTACTTCATAAAATGTTAGGAAATAGGAAAGAGTAAAACTAATTTAAAAATTTTGTTATACCTTCGTATTGCGCTACAACACAAAGGTCTTTTGGGAGTCCAATTTTAACAGCTGAATAAAATTATAGGGAATAAATTTCACCAATAAGGATATTTGAATTTATTTCTCACGATTTGCAAAGCATAAAAGGCATATTGGATAAAATAGCTTTCTAAAGATTATTTTGTTTTATCCAGTCGTTTTTTTCTTGTCTTTGCTCAGAAGAAAACTGAACTCATCTAAATTTATATGAAGATTGATTTAGTTCATTTAAAGGCACTTAATGTTTCTAAACTACCAGGATCTGATCCAAAGATCCCAAACAACCACTCAACCATTAAGACTACGACTTGTATATTTTAAATAGATTAGATATCTAAATTATGGTATTGGTACCAATGGTATTGTCATACTTCACCCTGAGCAAGGCTCCAGACAAGCAGTTCTGACAGACTTATCAAATCAATGGTATTCTTATAATTCACTCTGACCAACCATGTTAATAAAACTGCCTGGTCATCGCGTACAGAAGATTATTCACTATGACTTTAGTACGATTTTCATTTCATCTGATATTGTAAGGACCTGTGACGGGAGCAGAAAGCGAAGTTAATTTTGACATTTTTTGGTATCGAGTTCAAAACTAGAGTCATATTTTCTTAATTATTTTTTTTAATTTTAGACGTTTTAATTTTGAAGCAAAAGTCGAAATTTCTGACATACATTAAGTTTTCTCAAATTTTTTAACAGAAACTAAAATGGCCGCTTATGGTAAAGTTAAATGTTTGTCGAACCATAGTTTGTAGCCCCATCATGACTTTTTTTGATTTCTCAGACGATATCTTAGTACCGGTACTCCTAAAGTATGTGAACCAAGATGGCGGACACAGGAACATAGTATGTGTAACAGGTTGGGGTCAGGCTATAATTTCAGAGTCACTTGGCTAGTCCCCGAACTCGTAATAGAACTAAAATAAGGAAAATTGCAATAAAATTACGGTCTCACCCAAACCTGGTACAAATACCACATTCTGGTGTCCACAATCTTGGTTCACATGCTTCAGGAGCGCCAAAATTTTTTTATTCCTAGAACCCAATTCTGTTTTTCAATACTCTCCGGGCAGGATCTGTTATTGTTAAACAGAAAACTTACCAAATTTCCATTATTTTTCTAGGAACAGGCTCAAACAGAGTTCATGAATTTTTTTTTATTTCAGCAATGGATATCCAGATCCAAACCATATAAGGAAACTGCGAGAAGCATTGGAGGCGAAAGAATTCAAGTATGATAAATCAATATGGGTGAGATAATTTTATTCATTTAACACACTGGCAAAATATTGCTTTGCCCACTTTCCCCAACATGCATCCGTATGAATAGTCTTAAATTCCTGAAATAACAAGTTAGATAATCATCAATTGAAACTGAATTGAGTAATGAACTTGCATTGGTATCGGAGGTAGATAAAAGAATTGTTTGTTTAAATGGATTTTTCTCCGATTCTAATAATTTACAATTCGATTGAAATTTTCGATTTGAAAAGCCCAGCCCTATGGACATCATAAAGTACTATATCGTCATATATGATATCACAATCACATAGTTTTGGAAGCTTTCAAATGAAAACTCAAAATCGGTATCTTCAATGAGACACTCTGTGTGCTGTGCAGTTTCAATTAATATTATAAGACCAAGGCCTCACTTTTATCTCACATTAGTTCTTATGATTTCGAGTAGTTGCTTTGCCATTTCATTATTGCAGTGCTAATTGTGTAGAATATGGTGATTTGAATAATATAGAAATTAATAGTTTTTTATACCACGTTTATTTTTATGTTTTTACCTTCGGACAAGGCTCTGTACAATCATCCACTGATATGTAAATGACTAATATTTTTCAGAGATACTGTAATTTTACCAGACAAAAGAAATAGGTTTTGTAATTTGAGAAATGTGTAGCTTGGATAGATATAATAAATATAGCAAAAACATAACATGTCTGAATAAGCTGCCTCACCATAGTGCACCTATTGACAAATTCTAGTTTAATATTATTGCCTGTTGTATTAATTCTTTTGTCTCTCTCATCTAAGGGCATGGAAAGTAAGAAAATAAAATGAATGAGTGGAAGACAAAGATTTCCGGCAACACGATTCCACTGCATAGGATACTGAACTGAAACGTTGAACTCGCCGTCATCAAAACTACATCAAAGGCCAAAACAATATTACAGTTGCAGCCATTGTGCAAAGATGTTCTTAATCAATTATTTCATAAGATAAAAATGCGAATATTTTGAGAAAATTTATTTGTTCGTTTCCGTATGGGCATATCATCAAATAGTAAAATGGCCTAGGCAGCTAAAGCATAACACTTAACTGCTGGCATCGCAGATTACACGTCTCAGGTCCAATTCTCACGCCCCCCACCCCCCAGGGTGTATTAGATTGGGTAGGCAATGTCGAACCGAAAATTCTTTTGTCCAATACAAACAAATATTATCTCCTTACATATCGTTAAATACCAGTGGCTGCTAAAAATAATATTTTTGGGGCATTTTTCGATAATTTTTGTGGCTATAATTGCCCTGAACGGTAGGTACTCTGAACAAGCATCCAATCATGAATATGGAACTTCTATATTGCACAAAAGAACTTGAAACATTCTTGTTTAGCTCCGTATACAACACTCTGGGTGAGGTAGTGGGCATATGATATAAATGCTTTAATATGCGATGCCAACATATTCAAGTTCATAACATCAGGCCAGTGGTCGGCAAACTTCATGTACTTGCAGGCCAAATATACACATTTCCGGTAGCGTGGGGGCCGCAATGTTCCTGCCCTAATTATAATTGCCTCATTAAACATAAAATTATGGTGCATTTGCTTTCTTATGCTTCGTTAAAAGCCTGCCACAATAAGAAGTGTATGTGGAGTTTTTTAATATATTACTCAACAAAACATTGTTTACTTATTATCAATGTGAAGGATGATGTTGTTGTGGCAACATTTGCATTTGGCCTGTGGGCCGTAGTTTGCCGACCCCTGCATTAGGCTATTTTGGATGGTTGCATTGTCGATATATTATATTTGGTAGAATCAATCAGCGAAACTCTTCATAAATTAAAATAGGTTGAATAAACTGGCATGTTTGTGTCAGTCCGTACACTACAAAACTGTTCTGATAATTTGTGGCAGGTCATACCTGAATGCCAATTGGGGCGTACTTCAACCAAAAATTAATTATTCAAGTCTTGATTTGATTTGAAAAATGTCCAACCCAACCCTGTGTTATTGGGCTCATGAATTAGGCTGAATAGATTATCTGTTTAAATATTCTATTTCTAACCTGGGTACTGATTGTTATTCACAACTAAATATATTATTAATCAAAGTATGTATAACTTTCAATGTCGTCCTTATGCATTTTAATATGTTACTTATATTGTATACTATTATGGCATATTGTATAATTATTCCGTAGGTTCCCCACTGCTGCTGTTAATTATACCACATTCCATCCAAACAATTCTTCGAAGCTCCTAATTGCCAACCACCGCTGTATATATATATATATAAATATCCTATATCAATTTAATGTATCATTTTCATAATTACGCAACCAAGCAAAGTTCTGTATAATATAGGGTACTACCGAAGTATGTGAACCAAGATGGCGGACACCAGAACATAGTATGTGTACCAGGAGAGGGTTAGGCGATAAGTTCAAGTACAAATACTACAGGAGTCACTTGGCTAGTCCCCGAACTCATAATACAACTGGAATAAGAAAAATTGGAATAAAATTATGGCCTAACCCTTTCTGGTACACATACTACGTTCCGGTGTCCGCCATCTTGGTTCACATACTTCGGGATTACCCGATATAAAAGAATCTGACAATATACAAATCAAGGATTCCAGCGAAATCATTTTATGGAAATACATGACTTTGCATACTCTTGCACTTCAAAATTAATTTGGCTATGTGCTCGAGTGTATTCTATGTGTTCTCGAACAAATTTAATAATAATATAAACAAATGTGCTAATATTTTTTATAACAATTTATGTAATCAAGCCAATACTGTATTCACAAACTATCAAGAGTTCTGAAGCAAAAATACCACTGAGTTATTATTCCAGCAAAAATTTTTTTTATATGATTCAACTTTATAAATAATTTGATATGCATTAAAGTGTTTTTTCGAACCATTTTGATATAAAGAATGTGTGATCTTGCAAAATTGATTATCATGCTGAAATTGTTTCAATATGGGGGACGGCAAACTTTTTCACTCCAAATGTATAAAACCAGTCTTAGTAACCAATTTATTACACTATGGGTGATATGGGGTCCAATTGTGAGAATTATGAGTAGTCTTTAGGCACAAAAATTTTGGTTATTGTCATTGATCTTATGACTTGAGTAGTTCGCTTTGCACAAGCTAGCTATTATTGAATTTATCATTTACCATTCCGAAGGTATCTGAATAGCGAGGAAATTACCAAATTATAAAAATTCCATTCCACAGTATGATAATAACTATAAAATAAAAAACAATTCACTGCTTTTGTCCAGAAGTAAGACTAGCTATAGAATTCCACATACAGGGACAAGGGCAATTTTATCTGTTTTCGTCTAACCCCAATTGGTATAAAACTCTAAAATGCTAAGTCTGTCACAGATGTGCAAATATTCCAACTTTGCATTTCTTTTTTTTTATGAATGTTCTATTCAGTTCGATATTCATTTTGAAAACTACACCAGTTCGAATTTGTAGTAAACCATTGCCTCAAGTACAGGGAGACAACCTTGACCAGTGGTCTTTCCCATCTCATGTATCATCAAATGCTCAAGGTGGGGAATTTGGAAACATCAAAATTGACATTGGAAATAATGTGTTCATTTGAGTGACAACC